ATAGTTATACTCAAAATCTTATACTATTATTTACTTAATTTCAATAGATGTTATTGTATTTTAGTGTGTTATGAATTTTAAGTTATTTCTAATATGTAACAAATTAAATAAAAGTATACAATTTACGTGTCAATTTCAAGTTCATGGGTCAATTTCGTGTCACGGGTCATTTTCGTGTCGTGTTATGTCAACCCGTAAAGTGGTCGTGTTGCGGTTTTTAAAAAATTTTATGTCACAGGTCGTATTCGGGTTAACTGTAATTTTTTTAAAAAAACTAATAAAACACGATACGAATACGACACGTGACACGAATTGTCAATAAAAAAATAGCTGGTATAATAAGAGGTTATGGAAACACCCTCACCGCCAATTATAATGGCACTTGTTGTGACTATATGTGATGGATGACGGTGTTGGTAATGGAAAACTGAATAAAACACGATACGAATACGACACGTGATACGAATTGTCAATAAAAAAACAGCTGGTATGATAAGAGGTTATGGAAACACCCTCACCGCCAATTATAATGGCACTTGTTGTGACTATATGTGATGCATGACGGTGTTGGTAATGGACGTTGTGAAGCCGTGACATAAATCACAATGAGAAACAAGAACGGCGGTGAGGTTTGCCATCACTACAATAAAAGTATTTTAGAAGGCTGGATGCGCTAATTTTTTACATCGGTTCTCTGACAAACCGACGTTAAAATTAGCAAAAATACTGGAATTTTACGTGAAAGAGCGGAGTCATCAGATTTTATCATTTTTATAATTAGTTCTGAAAAGTGCGTTGTTATTTATTAATTTATAATAACAGTTTCTGAGTTAACCGACATTTTTTTTTTTTTTTTTTTTTTTTTTTAAAGTCGGTTGTATTGTCCGTCTTAGAAAAGAATAAAAGAAGACGGATAAATATTGATCTTGTCGTACGTTGGACACATCAGTAATCACCATGCGCGCAGACATGTTTATTACACCAACATATTGATTAATGCATAAAGCATTGGGATTTTGGTTCCTTGGTTCCATGAAAATTGAGAGAGATCCCTTTCATAGTTTCAAAAAAAAAAAAAAAAAAAAGACAAGACCGCAAGTTAAATAGAGGAAAAAGACTTTCGTTGTTTTTCTACGTACTTTTCTACGATTGATATACTGTATTATATGTCCTTAAATGGGACAGATATAATGCAATTTTTTTTGGAAATGCATGTAAGAAATTGCTTTACGCGTTCGTATTGGAGAGAGCTTGAGGCAATCCACGTAAAATGCATGTCAAAATTATGTTGACTTTTGGGTTGAGTACTGCGGTTGAGAAACTCTCTAATCTTTCTTCATAAAATTAATTCAATATTTCTTTTTTGGTTAAAATAAAATTTATCTTCACAGTCCTTTGGTGGCCACCACGTTCACAATTGGCGACATCGCAGAAAGGTAGGGAGGGGCAAAGAAATGACTCGAGGGTGGTGGTTCATTGGTTCTAGAGAGGTTGGACACAAAAAGAGAGAAGAAGATATGGACTGTTTCCGTTTTTTAAAACGTTCTTCACGTTTTCGGAGAAGGGAAAAATGAAAATGACATAAAGATAGTGTTTGGTTTGACACCGTACCAGAAATGAAAACAAAATCGTTTTTGTATTTTTCCCAAAAACTACCACCATTCTGAAAATAAATTATACTCGTTTTCATTTTTTCCATTTCCATTTTCTCTCCTCTGAAATTTTTTTCTGCCCTTCACTTCTCACACGCTATCTCTTCTTGAATTTCTCCGTTCTCTTCTCGTCATCTTCTCCGGTTATAGTTCACCGGTCTTCTCCGATCTGGCTTCTCTCGTCTGCTCTGGTCTCTCTTCTCCGGTCTTCTCTGGGGACGACGATGACAACCATGACATTTGGAGTAGGAGGAGGCCATTGACTACCTTCCTAATGCCCCTGAAGATTTGGACATGGTGTCTGCAATTTCCAACAAATTCAGGGCCAATAACTCTCCCCTAAATTTTGTTCTCACCACTTTCTTTTGTGATCCATTTCAGACCAGAACAAGTCAAGGGGGACGATCGCAACCACACCCTCACCTGGGTCGCTCTAAAAGTCTGAACAAGTTTTCCGGTCATCCTCTGCCTGGGCAGCCGAAGAATTGCCGATTTAAATATGCTAAATGGTTTTGGGTTTCCTTATTTCTTTTATGAAAGTAACTCTCCCCTAAATTTTATTCTCACCACTTTCTTTTGTGATCCATTTCAGACCAGAACAAGTCAAGGGGGACGATCACAGCCACGCCCTCACCTGGGTCGCTCCAAAAATCTGAACAAGTTTTCCGGTCATCCTCTGCCTGGGCAGCCGAAGAATTGCCGATTTAAATATGCTAAATGGTTTTTGGGTTTCCTTATTTCTTTTATGAAAGTGTGAAATTGAGCCCTTAATATTTAGAGAAGAAACTTACAATTGTTTTGGAATGAAATTAGGTTGATGTCTGCTGGAGATTTTTCACGAATTTTGTTTCAATTATTATTTATTTAATATATTATTATTTTAAACACTATTACATGTTCTTAAAAATTAAACCACCAAACGCAGTTTCAGTTTTTTTTTTAAATTAAAAATAATCTCTTAATAAAACTACTAAATGCATTTTCATAAATGATTCCAAAATAGAAATGAAAACGTTTTCATTTTCATTTTCATACAGAAAATAAAATTATTTTGAAACGAGTTCCAAACGCACCCTATAACTCAATATTTCTACCACGCCTTTCAATATTTTCAAAAAAAAAAAATGCCGTTTGGGAATCTCACTTGATTTTGTTAAAAGGAAGGATCCAACAGCAGCTTCACTTGATAAAATGTTGTATGTTTTAGAACTTAGCCCGCACGATTTTATTTTTGGACTTCACTCCAAATAGTCTCCTACTATTAGAAGGTGGTGTCATTTTTTATAAACTATCACCTAAATCCTTTCTCAGATAATATGAGATTGCACAACTTATTATATCTTGATATTTTTTTACCTAAAATAATTGATGACTATCACAATTACTCCTTCTTATGAGGGTCCAACGTTCTCATTGACTTTCGATTGGGTACAAACTCTAATAGTGATGTGTTTAATATTACTCCAATAAAAATCTCTATCATATGAGTTATTGGTTTTATCTTTCTTTGTAAATATTAACTAATGTGCAACTTTGCTTTGCCAAATTCTAATCTTAAAGGAAAAAAAGAAGGAACTTTTAAGATAAATCTATAATAATTTTTCACCTTTTCCTCCAAATATGGAAAAGTGGTTTATGCACCTCTGGAACTTTAAAAACACTAGCAAAAGTACTCATTCACTCACATTTCGTCCTATTAAAATTGATGGGTTACTAATTCTTCAAAAAAAAAAAAACTTGGTTTCAGCTGAAAAGTTTTAATTATTAGTGTAATCAATTCTAAAAAGGCAAATTTTCTTTAATACTAAATGAAAATTTTCATTACAAAAATTGGACACTTGGCCTAGAAATTCCCTCGAGAAATTGGGTGCCATCAAACTTTACTCGTGATCTAATTAAGGCTTCTATTTTCATACATATTCTTGCCAATTGTGACCCCAATATGTTTGCTTGTGGTTGCAAAAGTACGAGCAGCAGACATTCGTTTAAAAAAAAAAAAAACTCAAGAGAAAAAGTTCTAAAAAAATGAATTGAAGTTCCTCGGCTTAGAAAAATGAAAGATTTCCCATCTTCTTTTGGCAAAATGGAATTAAAAAAAATTACATACTTTGCCATTGTTATGTATATATTTTTATTATTTATGTCATTTTAAATAATTGAATGTGATTGTGGCTTCTATAAATAATATTTATTATTATTTTATGTGGTATTTTGTTGGGAAGACTTTACATGTAAAATTATATCAACACACTTTAAGATCTTAATTTGACCTCAAAAGTTAACATAATTAGGTTTTGAGTCCTTCCATGCATATAAAAGGGGAGTCAGCTCGAGCATGGGAAAGAGAGCCGAACCATATACGAACTATCGGTTCTGATATCACTTGTTGGGAAGACTTCACATGTAAAACTGACCTAATGCACTTTAAGAGTCCAACTTAACTCAAAAGGTTAACATATTAAAGTCTTGAGTCATTCTATGCATATAAATAATTTTACATGTTCATCCACTTTTCATGTAGAACAACACATATATACATTTTTCTCAATATGTTTTTTATTTTTTTTTTCCTTGAAAAAAATCCCCCGTAATGTTTTGCCAATAAAAAAGGCCCGAAAGGCCAATGGTCACTAATTTAACCGCATGAAGAAAGATACCAGGCTTGGATTTAAGAGGGATTGGGTTAAATCACACATTATTATTACATAAAAAACGTAAATAATTATTTGTGTAGATTTTTGTGAGCAAAATATTTAGGATTATAAATCCCTGTTTTTTATTAGCATATATGATGCTCAGCACTGTTTAGAAACCCAATTGCATCAACCATCGGCTTCACACGTCAAAGAAGTTTTGAAGTTTGAAGAGGGGTAACTTGGACATTTCATTCCCATCCCAATTGGGTTACTATTTTGAAGCAGTGATGATAAGAACATTTATTTATAATTTAGGAAAAAAATAATAAAAGAAAAGCCACGAGAATAGCACGGTGACCCAAACTACATGAGTTTCATCTAAATCTCACGAAAGTTATTATTGTTTTTGCCGTCAGAGAAGACTTCAAATAACAGTGAAAAACGGAACATTCTGGAGACACAATCCGCAAAAATATCTCACAACTCCCATGCAATCTCAACCGTCCATCGCGATCCCCTTATCCCACACACAATAAACAATACACACATTAATTACCCGTTACAGTAATCACCAAAATCAGTAATAAAATAGCTTCTTCATCTTTTTTTTTTTTCCCCTAATTTAAAGATTAAAGAAAAAAACCCAAATTGCCAAATGTGATAAATAAATAAATAAATATATATATATATATATTAAAAAAGCTATATTAGTGGGCTGGTTTCTGGAGAGTTCTTGAGGCCTAGCGTTTTGGGGGAGGGCTTGTGCTGATCCTCTTTTTTCGCCTTTGCCCTCTTCCCCTTTCCCTTCACGGAAACCAAATATTCCCAGCTTCCGTGTCTTATATATTAATCATCAAGATGTAGTCCAACTTTTCTGTTATCTTTCTCCTTTATCTCCCTCTTATATATGTATATATACATATTTATGGGTTTCTGGGTTTTTTAATTCGTCGACAAGGCAAGAAATTATCTATAAGGAGCTGGACAATTTTGGTGTTTTCTGGGTTTGTTTGGATTGTTTCTGTGTGGAGGAATGGCTAATGGTGGAGAGAAAAGCAATGACTTTTACGCGGTTTTGGGGTTGGAAAAGGAATGCACTGCCTCCGACCTCAGGAATGCTTATAAGAAACTTGCTCTGGTTAGTTCGGAGCTTTCGAAATTGATCCTCTGTTTTTTTTTTTCCTTCCAAAATCCAACAAAATTTTATTTTTCGTGATGTTTGAGATGGATCTCTGAGAAAAAAAAAAAAAGTGTTGATTTGAATTTTTGTTGGAATAGAGATGGCACCCAGATCGGTGTTCGGCTTCGGGAAATTCAAAGTTCGTGGAAGAAGCCAAGAAGAAATTCCAGGCTATTCAGCAAGCCTATTCTGGTAAATTTACACCGCCAATCTCTTCGAGAATCTTCTTTTAAACAGGAGAAAAAATTAAGCCCGGTTTTGATTCGGCAGTTTGAATTTTTTTATTTAAATTTTTTGATTTGAGCCGTATTTATTTCATCAATTTAAATTTTATTACCATAAATTTTTTTTAAAAATAATCATATTTAATTTTATTATTACAATAAAAAAATTTTATATAAAATTACATCTTAATTTAAATTAAAAATTTAAATCAACAAATTAAATGAATTCTTAATATGGTTTAAATTATAATTTAATTATTTAAATGTGTAGTTAAAATTTTAATTTAAATTAAAAATAAAATTTAAATTTGTGTATAATAAACGTAAAAAAAAATGAGCACTTCTTATTATTAAAAAATAGTTTAAATAATTAAATTAAAAAAAATTAAATTTTAAGTTAGATCATTTAATTTTAATTTAAATAAAAAATATAATTTAAACTGTGTATTTATTAAATTAATTTGTGCAAGTTAAATTGAATTAAATTAATAAAATAAAGATGTAAAATGTTGAAAGGGGGGGTTTAATTGATTAATGGATTCACGAGGAGTTTATTGCAATTTTCTCTCCGTGCACAGTTTTATCAGACGAGAGCAAGAGATTTCTGTACGACGTCGGAGTCTATGATAGCGATGATGACGAAAATGTAAGCTTTTTTATTTTTTATTTATTTTCCCGGGAAATACACTTTCATCGGTCTTTGTACAAGACGTGTTGACTTTTTGTTCTTTGACCTATTATCATGGCTGTTACGTGGAAATGTACGAAATTCAACCGTTGGCCATTGCTAATTGAATCAGGACGTCTCTTGGAGGTTATAATGGACCCTATCATATCCAATCATTGCTCCATATGGGCTTCATGAGTCTCTGTTTTCTTTTCGCATTTAAAAAAATAGTCATATTTCTAGTGTATTCTCAGGGCCACCCTACTTTGTTATATAATAATTTTGTGACAGGCTGCCTTTAGTATTTCTCCATATAGACGGTGATTTATGATTAATAGATTAGTAGGATTGTTTTTTTGGCTGAGTAATAGATATTTTTTGTCCTGTTTGGATTTGGTTTGTTGGTTTGAGTTTTATTAAATTAAAATTTTTTTATTTAAACAGAAAAATTTAAATTGTACGGTTTAAATTGTAGTTTGAATTTATATTTAAATGTGTAGTTAAAATTTTAATTTAAACATTGAATAAAATTTAAATTTGTGTCTGGTAAGTGTGAAAAACAGAGAGAGTAGACATTTTTTTTACCAAAAAAATGGTTTAAACGGTTGAACTTGAAGGAGTTAAGCTAAGTTGAACTCTTTAACTCAGTTTAAATGAGAAATATAATTCAAACTACTGCTTACCAAATATAAGTTCAAACTGCGCTTATTGTTTAAATTAAGTTGAACTGAACTAAATCATTGAAACAAATAGGGACTTTATATTTTACTAGATTGCGGAGCAGCCAAAAAAAAAAATCTCTTTCAAATGGATAACTTGAGCTTATTATGAATTTGTGAAAAAATGCAGGGAATGGGTGATTTTTTGAACGAGATGGCAGTCATGATGAGCCAAACAAAGCCTAATGTGAGTTAGAAATAATTTTCTTTATATGCAACTTTTTTTATAAAAAGATAATCCTTTGCTATTGTACAAATATGAGAATTTTGATTCATCAACAAAAAAAAAAAATTAATCTTAGTTGATTTTGCTTATGTTTCAAAGTGGACGGACTATTGAGGAAGAATTGTTTGTCGCTTTTTGAGAAATCCTATGTTGTAGACTTTTTTTTTTTTTTTTTGCTTTACATTGTGGGTCTGTGTGCCACTCCAAAAGTAATGCGCTTTGAAAGAGAAATTATTAATGGCTATTGTCTACTACAAGGAATTCTGGATGGGCCACTTTAGGTTCAGGAAATCGTATTTTTTTAATGGATATTATATGTTAAATTTCTTTATTCTTTTGTGGTGTACTGGTGTTATGATCGTCTATGTTTAGATACTAGGAAGTCCGTTTCTGGAGGGCCCATTTGAAGGGCTGCTCCATGACAAAACCAAAACTATTTTCTACACGTAGCTTGGGAAGGCACAGTAGGTTCTAGCTCGTCGAGACTTTGTGGACCCAAGAATGTGGGCCCAAGTAACCCGTCCTTTCTTTTTTTTGTTTGGGAGCTTGCAAAAAGTATTTTGTTTTGAGATTTTTTCTGGTAGACTTCCTTATCGGTAGGTCAGTTTCTAATAATTAGATTTAGTAAAAATTATATTAGAATAAAAGAGTATGTTCAATATATAGTAATACAAAATTTGATGGCTAAAGCTAGAGAATTACTGATAGTTTTTTTTTTTTTTTTTTTTTTTTTTTTTTTTTTTTTTTTTTTCCGGAGAAATTAGGAATTTTCTCGTTTTATTGTGTTCTAAAAATAGTAGAATTACTGACAGTGAGAAGTGATGAAAGTGGATTTGAACAATTGGTGCTGAATAATAACCAAGAGACTAAAGTGATTATTATGATGATGATGTTAGAATTTCTAAAGTTGTTTGGGGTATGAAAATGGACAGGAAGGTGGGGAAGAGACATTTGAAGAATTACAGCAGCTATTTGAAGACATGTTTCAGGGTGACACCGAGACATTTGGATCTGGCAGTTCCTATTGCGAGAGTTCTGCTTCTTCATCCTCGTATTATTCTGAGAGTTCCAGTTCTAATAGCAAGCGCAGTTCCTCGGAAATGAACAATGGCAATACAAACCTCAACAGTTCTTCCAGTTTCGCCGCCCACTTTCAGACCTTCTGTGTTGGGGTGAGTACCCTGCCCCGATTTTATTTTTTTCTTTTCTTCCGATAAATTTTAATAACAAAAACATGATTTAAAATTAGTAATTAGTGGGGGAAACAACTATTAATTATTCTATTTAATGCGGTCCATGATATGATTTAAGAATTAAGTTATGGTAAAGGATTATTACTGTACTAATTAGTTATGTTTCTTGGTCATGAGGCCTTGTCTTCTTGTAGTCAACGTGGTTTGAAGTACACTCTAGAATAGAATTTCATATAGTTACAAGAGGTTCACGTGTTGATTTGTATTGTTTTCTTTCTTAACCCCAATGAAGACAGGTGGAGCGTCGTCGGCGGGATACGAGGGAGGGGAACAGGGTAAGAGGAGAAGTTCGAGGAGGAGCAAGCGATAGACAACATGGCGGGAAACAAAATGTTTCGGCTAGCTACGATGTTTCTTCGAACAACTACTCTGGTATTTCGGCTGCATGATTTTGCTTAACTACAAAATAGAGCGCAAAATTATAAGCTTGGAGTGGATCCTTTTGATGGATCAGGCATTACAGGATACAGGTAGGCAAAAAAAAAAAAAAAAAAGAAAACTTGTTTGTCACCACTTTTACCTTATCTTTAGATGGAGGATTTGAGGCTGGGGCAGAGAGTTTTTGAGTCTCCATGCTGTGGTTTAGTATTGGTAGCTTGGTCTTAGAGCTTTTTTCGTTGTAATGATTCCCTTTTGTTCTTTTGATATTCTAATATCTAGTAGTCATCTTCTTTTCTTCTAGTTTAATTGTCAAAGGTCAACGTTTAATCAGACTTATATTTTGTAATGAACCAAGGACCATATCTCATCTGGGGTGTTCTCAATTTGCCCCCTTTTTTTTTTTTTTTTAATTTCCTTTTCATTTTGGTTGATTTCTTTGGATTGGAGATATAGATTTATGGAGTATTCTATGAAAGAGTTTTCCTTTACGACTTTTTGGGAATGTTTAGTTAGAGAATTAATACCATGATTTAAATCATGATTTATAATTTATTACAATATTTTTTCTTATAAAAAATACACGATTATAATCTCTTTTAATTGAATTAACTAATAGTCTCATTCATTAATTATTGGTGCTTAAAAACAAAACAAGAAGTACAGAGTTTAGGGTACGTGTTAAAAAAAAAAAAAAAAAAAAAAAAAAACCTTTTTTTATCCCCGCGCATATGAGGAAAAAGAGGTGTGAAGTTGACAGTAGAGCGTATCCCATTGGCTTAAGGGGGTCCTACAGCACGTGGTGGGGAAGACCAAGCGTGGGGCCAACGGAGAACTTTAAAAGGACAGAAAAAGTCTAATTCGTCCGCTTTTTAAAATGGGATTGATGGTGAAAGGCAGAGCATGCAATATGCATGGCTATTGGCCCGTCAACACCCACCACCCACTTTTGGTTTTGAAAGCTTATGGGACCCAATTTCATCGCAATTTGCCAAACCCAAGCATTTAACAACCTGCCGTCATCTTCTCTTATTGTCTCAAGCAACTTGAGGTTTCTTTCCCTTTATAAATTTAAGATTTTAATTCGAGTTAAGATGTGATATTTTTAAAAAAATTTTAATTGTAATAAAAAAAATTATATGTGACGTTTTTTAAAAATTTTTAACTGTAAAAATTTAAAACTTAAAACTCAAATCGATGAAATGAACGATACATAAATTTACTCCGGTCTTTACACAGCCAACCTGCCATGATTTTGTCTCCGTGGCCTTGTTAGTCTTTAATTAATAAACAAGAGCATTGTTATTCATCATCATTCACCAATGATATAAAGAAGAGAGCAGTCACGTAACAAAAGGTAAAATATGTCATGTAACAGTTCTATTGTCACATATGTAGTGTTTGCATTATTAATAATAGTGAAATAGTACTTTAAAAAAAGCAATGGTTTTGACAGGTTGAGTAAAAAGATTACAAACTTGTTATTTTTCCTCTTTTCTTTTGACGAAATATAAGATAGGATATGGGAGAAATGAATATTGAAGTTTACAAAGGAATCTTAATAAAGTCATGTCATCAGAATGCGCTATGATTTATCATATGGTTTTCCTCCTTTTAATGATCAATTGTTGTAGGTTTAACGAAATATGTCATCAACTCACTCTTTCATACAAAAAAATAACAAATAAATTTCTATCGAAATCCTTATAGCTAAATATGGTTAATTAGTTCTGATTTATTATATGAATATATGACATCATAAAGCTGTCTCTTTCTTTTTAAAACCCAACTTTAATGTCATAATCTGATTTAATTATCCAACTAATTATGCACGCTACACAATCATTATCAACGATAAATTCTTCTTAAGTCAAAAAGTTTCATTTTGTGAAGTACAAAGCATTTGTACAAGTTCCAAAGAAGAAGGAGAAGGAAAAATAAATAAATAAATAAAGAGAGACAGTAGTTTTCTTAATTTAGTAACCATGCTTTTATTCATACACATCTCATTGCCTTTTGCGGAAAAACACAGAGGATTGCAACTCATTTCTCGAGATATCAAATCGAGCCACAACACCAAGTCCGAGTTTTAAGTTGTTAAACAATGAAAGACCCGAAAACTTCTTATCAATAGATTTGATAGAAATTAACGGATTTTAAACCCATCTCTAAAAAATAAATACTAAAAACCGATATTCATCCCAATCATGTTTATCTTCACAACACATAAAAAAAACTTTTGGTGTGATAATCGATATTGATGACAAACAACAATGCTCCAATCGAGAAGATTTTCTTACAGGTGATGAAAAGTTCACCTCTGTTATTGTGAGTGCTGACTCAATCGCCTAAGTCTGTTTAGTTCGTTGATTGAGTTTTTAATTCGAGTTAAAATGTGATTTTATGTTAGAGTTTTTTACTGTAATAAAAAAGTTAAATATAACTATTTTTAAGAACTTTTTATTGTAATAAAACTCAAATTATAAACTCAAATTAGTGAAATGAACATGACTTAATTGCTTGAGACCCCACTTCGAGAACAAGGCCCCCAATTAATGTTTTATTTAGTTTCAAGTGTATAATAAACTGATTTTTTTTTAGACCTTATAAAAAGTTTTGCCTAATGGTCCCTAATACTTTCAGACGGCCATGGTTATTGTCCCAAAGAAAGTTAAAAAAAGAGAAAAGAAATGTTTCGAACTTGAAAGTGGACAAGTTGAGAAACAGTACTGGAATTTGGAGTGCACAGAAAGAAAGTTCAAGAAAGGGCACCAAGTTGATGGTAAAATAATATGTTTAAAGGTCCGCAAGCAAGTTGGTATATATATATATATATATATATATGCGGTTGGTGGCAAAACAAGTTGATAATTCTAAATTCTAATAGAATAAATAAAGATTAAAATCTTGCTCGTCTCTTTAAAAGCCAGCTAGCTAGATTCATCTAATTCCCAGCTGTCTTCAAAACCAATTTCATTCTTTAATCGATTATTTGTAAATTTCCCCACTTGCCCAACCAAAGGGTTTCTTTTATTTACCACACTAAACATGTTGCATTAGTTTATTTCTAAACTGATTTAATTATCCAATCGAGAGTTCGTTATACAATCATGATGGGCTATATGAATTGACAATTTGTAAATAGCTTTTAAGCCGTGAGACAAACTTTATCTTTTGAGCTCAGTTATTTTATTAACAAAAAAAAAAAAAAAGAGGTCAATTATTTGAAAATTCGGTGTATTGAATAAAACATGTAAGCCCCGTTTAGAAAGTGCATTCAAACCAAGTAGTCTGATTCGAAATTCATTTCTCATGAAAGAAATTGCTATAGTATAACTTTTTAAATTTAAATTTTTTTGTGAGAGAAAAAACTATTTAAACTTAAATCATAATGGTTTAAACTCATCCTCTGAACGCACTCTAAATTTTTAACTGATTTTGTTACTGGATTGCTCCAACTTGCCCGTGGAAACTATTTAAATGGTTTCCACGGGCAAGAACTTGATTTGACTCACTCGAGAATGGTTCGCCGTTCGCCTGAGTTGTTTTGTAAGGGCCCTTCTCATGCTTTGTTCTGTAAGATACGTGATTAGACGAAAAAATGCACTACTGTTATAAAGAAGGTCAATTATTTGAAAAATCCGGTGTATTGAATAAAACATGTAAGGTCCCGTTTAGAAAGTGGATACAAACTAGGTAGTTTGACTCGAAATTCATTTCTCGTGAAAGAAATTGCTATAGCATAACTTTTTTAATTTAAATTTTTTTGTGAGAGAAAAAACTATTTAAACTCAAATTAGAGTGATTTAAACCCATCCTCTGAACGCACCTTAAATTTTTAACTGATTTTGCTACTAGCTTGCTGGTTTCCATGGGCAAGAACTTGATTTGACTCACTCAAGAATGGTTTGCCGTTCGCTTGAGTTGTTTTGTAAGGACTCTTCTCATGCTTTGTTTTGTAAGATACGTGATTAGACGAAAAAAATGTACTACGGTTATAGAGAAGTTACATTAACAAATAAAACTCTTTAACATTAGTGGCCTAGCAACTAGAAATAAAATCGTAACTTTGTAAGCCTTTTCTTTGGTTGTTTGGCATGACTAATTCTACACCACTAAAATGTAAAAATTGAGCCGACTAAAAGCGTTCACACATAAATAACATATAAAAGTTGAGGTGTAATGTGACATTTATCTTATAAAACAAGGATATTAAAAAGTATCATCAACAAGGAGTTCAATTATTCAAACCGGTGTCTACACTCTTCGTAGACTAAACATTCTATTGTTGGATATCAATCCTGCTAAACCACCGTAGAAAGCCATGAAAATTATAAGATACCTAATACTTGTTTTGTGTGATGTTGAACAATCCTTATGATAGCATTTGAGCATTGAGAATTCGAGCCATAGATTATCCCACTAATGTAGAGGAATGCCCAACAATAAGATTTCCACTCTCACTTTATATTTTAGATACTAACTTAATAATAATTCTAAGAGAACAATGCAAAATGAAAGGTAAATTAAGGGGCACTTCCCATCAGAAATATTCTCCGTTTTATATTTAGTTTGGTTCACGAAATTCACTGTAGCTAATAACGGCCTGTAAAGTGAGAATCACTTCCGAAACCCATTTGGTATGGCTTCTGGACTTATCCATTGGGCTTGATTTCAACCTGGCAGAGAATTTGGCGAGTTTGTACTTTATACTTTGTAGCATTGCTTTTGGGCTTTAACACAGGAAAAGAAAACACAACAATGAGCGCGTTTGAAAATGAAAATTTTCATTTTCAGGCAGAAATTATTTTTAAAAATATATTTAGTAAATTTATTAAGAGATTATTTTTAGTATAAAAAAATTTATTAATGTCTCTCTCTCTTTCCTCAAGAGAGGAGAAAACGAAAATAAAAAAAAAAACACGATTAAAAGTCATTTTTCATTTCTCTCTCATTTTATACTAAATTAAAAAATCGTTTTCATTTCCGTTTTTTGTCTTTAATTGTACCAAACGCCGTTTTGGAATCGTTTTTATTTTTTCTTTCTCAAAAAACGTGAAAAATAAAAACAAGAGTAATTCCAAACACGGCAAACAATATTTGCAGATTTATGTTTTAAATAAGCAACATATTTTAAAATTATTTAAAATAAATAATAGTTTATTGCATAACAATTTTAATAACAATTAAATTTTTTTTACGATTAATAAAAAGATTCTTTTCACGTAAATAATGATTTTTACTACGTGAATTATTTTTTACTAGTCATAAATAAAATATTTACACGGTAAATTACTATTTACTTTAAATAATTTTAAATTTTGTCATTTACTTAATTTAGTTTCAAAATTTATTATTTATTACAATTCCGTTTCCCAGATCAATCGTAAAAATAACAGTTTCTAATGTTAGATTTTTAAGGCAAGAAGAAAACCTTGACAAATTTGGGAGAAAATTACATGCCATGCTACCAAAATTTAAGAACTTTATATTTATGCAACTGAACTTCAGTATATTAAATTCAACTGGGTGGTATAAATGTAAAGATGAAATTAAAGTTGTTTGACTTGGCAATCAATGACCAAAGGAATAGACAATCTTAAAAAAATTAAAATAAAATAAACAAAAAAAAAAAAAACAAGAAAACAAAGTCGTGAAGAAAATAATGTTTTATCTTACTTTCCCCCCTGAAAGCGAAGAAAGGTAAAAAGGACGTGAGGGCAAAAAAAAAACAGATTTAAAAAGATAATGTTAATCTCACTCATTTTTAAAACATATTCTTGTGGGTCTGTTTCGGAAAATGACATGATGTTTTGTCTTACCTACCAAAATGAATAATTGTTCCCAATAACTCATCCTTACTACCACCACAAATACGCCTGCCGGAAAGTCCTTGGTGCAGACTTGGAAAAAAAGAAAGAAAGAAAGTCTTTTGTGGGGTCTTTGCTCATCTAACGTATTTGGAAGAAATATATTGCCAAAATTGAATATGAAAACTGACAATTTGGTAGGACCAATATGATGATACCAACGTGACACCCAATGAAAGAAACGAACCGTGTTCGGAGTTAATTTTATTTTTATTTTTTATATTTTTAAAAAGAAAAATAAAAATAGGTGAGAAACAGTGTTTGTCACAATTAAAAATAAAAAATAAAAATGAAAAATATTTTTTGATTTAGAATAAAATAAAAGATAAATAAAAAATAATTTTTAATTATTTTTTTATTTTTTATTTTTATTTTCTCCTCTCTCGAGCACACAAAGAGATATAATAATAGATTTTTTTATATTGAAAATAATATATTAATAAAATTATCAAACACATTTTTAAAAATAATTTATATCTAATATTAAAAATATTTTTATTTTTATTTTTATATAAAAATAAAATTATATTAAAACGAGCTCTAAACGCAAAGAAACTATTTTTTTTTCCCTCCCATAAGAAAGGAACAACACGCTTTGTTTTCTATTGGATCCTTAAAATTGGCTCGTATGAAAATGATAGACTGGTTGGATTGACTTTAGATCTAAGTTTGTACTCCTGTGGAACAAAATATCCCTATACACATGTCTCATAATTCTGGTGATGACCTTTTAAAATAATAATAATAATAATAATAATAATAATAATTCTTGTGATATATATAGCCGAATGGCCATATATTTTTGTATTATCATTTATCTGTGTAAATAGTATACAATTTTGATTAAAATGTCTTCTAATTAGTGAGACTAACATAATTACATCAATCTATTGAAATTTCTTCTACATATCACATGCATATTACATATGACTGAGCTTATCACGTGATAAGGAGTTAGCCAGTCCCGTCGATATTCAAACGAGACGTCAGAATAAGCGAGCCATGATCACAATCTTGAAGAAGCATTATCATTAGATGGCTTTTTTTTTTATATATATATTTGTGGAAATTATTAGATGGGGATTTGCTAATTGCGTAAAAGAGATGATTTTTGTTTTCTTCTTCTTGAATGGGGAAGGAATTTTGCAATTCAAAATACAGTTAGATTATACTTACAACAATAAAAAAAGAGCTTAAGAGACGTTTATTTCTTATATTCATCATTTATTTTGAATCATAATTTATAATTCTCTACGATATTTTTTCTCATAAAAAATAAATATAAAATAAAAATAATTATAAATTATAATTATATATATATATATATAAACCAAAAGTCGTCTAACTATTAACCAAACTTAATTGGTTTGTGCTTATTGGACGAAAATCCAAGAAGTTTTAAAGATAATACCTTAGGGATGATGCACCATCCTTATCACGTGACAGGTGGTGGACCCCGCCAGAACTCAACTATCCAATATTTGGTAGATCTCTAGATCCAATCGTCTAAAATCTTATCCGATGACGTGTAAAATGCCAATGTTAAAGAGTGGGGCCCGGTTTTATTATGCCCAGTCTCTCACGCCTTCTATTGTTTTTTGAGCTCCAACAGCTTCAGCCGAATCTAATATGCCAATATGGCTGCGGCTTAGGCTTTAATTTCTCAACTTTGACACATCAACCGGGTTTCTATATTCATCGGCCTTTTCCTTTTGTGTTATATTTAAAAAAAAAAAAAAAAAGAGACAAATATTTTTTTAAAAATTACATGAATTTTGATTTTGATTCTTTATTTTGATTATATTTTTTTTAAATCAATACAATTATATCAATTAAAAGAGTTTTAATTAAGAATAAATAATAAAAATTTAACTTCATATACTTTTATGGGTAATTAATTCAGTAATTTTCTCTATATTTTATGCTCTTATTGGCTTCAAATTAAGTTTGCCGTCTGATTTTTTTTTCCCTTTAGTCTGTCTATACTTAGTAGTTGACTAAATAATCCCTTCTCTGCGTAAGAATCCAATTAAACAAATTTCCAACTATGGCTTTTTTATTAATTAACTTATTTCAACAATAAGCCTAATTAAGCTCGTTGAGCCTGAACCCATGAATCTTAATAGAGTTTGTTAAATCTCCTCATTTAGACTTTTAGTTTTACTATTTCCCAAATTGGCGAAGTCCTATATTCTCTCTCTTAAACACACAAAAAGTAGTAAAATTCAACCGAATCTCTAGAATCTATATATCAATGAATGAAAAACCTTGTAGATATTTCACCCTAGCTGTACTTGCACTTTATACCTTTTACATTTTTTTCATTGAACGTCTTGTAAATTTAAAATTTTAATTTAAGTTAAAATATAATTTTACATGAGAATTTTTCACTGTAATAGAAAAAATTAAATATAACTTTTTATAAAAATTTTTAACTGTAATAGAATTAAAATTAAAATCTCAATTTAAGTTAAATATAATTTTTTATGAAAACTTTTAATTATAATAAAATTAAAATTAAAAATTTAAATCGGTGAAATAAATGATGTCGAAGTAATTAAACCAGCTTGAACTAATACCGTTAGCGAAATTTTACTCAGTTTTTACAAAATTATTTATTGCTGACCTTTACTTATCTTCTCATTGAGTCTAACAGCATTACAGACCACATACTCTTATCAAGAGCATACAGAGCAATATATATATATATATATATATATATTTATGTGTGTATATATATTCAGCATTCATGATTGCTTTTTTGATAAATTCAAATGAGATTGATAATGGAAATATAACGATATATTATTGCATGCAAAAAGCTTGTGCTTCTCTCTCTCTCTCTCTCTCTCTCTCTATATATATATATACACAAATGTATTATTAGTTTGATTGGCTCCAAATGAAGCGCGGTTAGCCGGGAAGCCATTGACTCAAATTAGCCATCATGTCTACATGACCTTATCCTCATCATCATGCTTGTAATTTTGTCTATAAAAACACCATAATATCACCTAGTCTTCCCAGAAACCAAACTTCATTAATTGTTTGTACATATAATATCAATACTTCTGATCTCCTTCGTCTCGTTCCGGTGATCCTCCCATCTCTTCGTGATTAACAGTCGTATCAGGTCGCAGATTTAATTTCCTACAACCAAATAATTAATCACAATCACACGTTCAAATTTTTACTATTAACATTAAAAAAAAATAATTAGTGGAGATCTTTTCGGTTGTTACAGAAGTCAAAAGCATATGGGATTTTTGCACAAGCTCTGGGACGAAACACTTGCCGGGCCTATGCCGGACACCGGCCTCTCTAAGCTCCGCAAGTACAACTCGTTCTCCGGCACACGACAGGCGCCGTCGCCGGCGCCGGCGACTGATCCTCCCCAGATAGCCGTGACGGCGGATTGTGGTCATGATCATCAGGTGCAGGTTACTCGGAGCATCACCATTCTCAGGACTAATCCAAACCCTCTCGTCAGGAGCTTATCCGTTGATGTCGCGGGTTCCGAGCCCGATTCTCCTTCCTCGTGCTCCACGCCGCGGACGCCGGTAACTCGTAAGTTTTATATCTTCTCTGATATCTACAGACGCACGTAAATACGTATGTGACCATTTAAGGACGTTTGGTTATGATTTAAAATTATTTTTATTTTACGTGTATTTTTTGTCAGAAAAAATACTGTAGTGAACCACGAATAATAATTTAAATCATGACATGAATCTCTCTTTCAAACGTCCTCTTAGTCTATTAGATATCTGAGATTATCAGATATGGAGTTTGTTGTCGTTGGTTAATATGTAAGAAATAAAGATGATGGATATTTAAGAAACTACGGGAGAGATCATATAGTTGAGACGATATATACTTTTTCGAGAACAAAAAAGACGCGGGGAAATATAAGAGCATGCAAATATCGGGTGGTTTCTAAAATATAAGGCTAATTATAATTATTTCCCCTTGCGTTTAATTTCTTCGTGCTGAGAAGAAATAATCAAACAAAAAAGAATCGGGTATGTGTATTATATGATCTATATGGGCGTTACCTAGAGAAGTTCAAAGAAGCTACATAGAAAACAATAATTAAGCAAATCTGCTACATGGGGTGGATTTATTAAAAGGAAAAAAAAAATAAAAAAAAGAAACAACACATATGGTCTTGCCTTATGGAAGAGAAAAAAAAAATCTCTTCTTCTTGTATTTTCCGAGAAAGAAATGCGAGTATTGACCATATATATAAGTGTATATATATGTGTGCGCGTGCTGATAAAATATATGTCTTGGTTGCTTGTTAAGAAGTATTTTAATTGATTTGCTGCGGTTGATATATATTGTGACTTTGTAATTTTGATCATGCGGCAGCCGGAACGCTAGCAGAGAATAATTTGAAGAGACCATGGACAAGGACAAAATCAGTAGGCGTCTCCGCCACAGAGCGCGGCTCTGAACAGAGAAGTCCGACCGTTTACGATTGGTTGTTTTGCATTTTCGTTTCATTAAAACATTATTATATTCATCCTCTATACAATACAATATGCCTTTAATTTGCCTGATATTTGTAGGGTCTTGATCTCCTTTTAGTAGCTATGTTATATATTATAGTAGTATTCCACGTCCCCTACTCTTTTTCTCCGCTTGGACATATGTTCCATTAATTTGGGACATGTTGGACTTAATTTAATTCATAGAGAGAAAAAATAACGTTACCATTACGTAAAATGTTACTAATTAATCAGAAAATTAATGATGATCATGAGTATCGCAGAAAATAACACCGCGATGATCAAGAGGGTTGATTTTGCTAGCCAAGTACAAATGCAAGGGATTCAATATTAAAGTAAATCATAATTAGCAGAGCAGAGGCATATTGTTAATTTTTAATTTGGAAAAAAGTAATGCTTGATTGATTAAGTAATTAGTTAATTAAGTCCTGATAAGTCCAATTAATTAGAAGAGTATAAATCCGTACGTTTCTAATGCATGGTTCATTATACTGTCCCTTTGCAGGATAGTGATTAGTGCTTTGGATCATTGAGAGAGATAATCAAAGTGACGATCGATTTTGTTTCGAAGCATGATCATCATCGCCATCGCCAACGCCACTGATTTGAATCTATATATATATATATAATTACATTCTGGCCTTCTAGTAGTGTTTCTGCGGTACATATAATCGACATAAATTAAGCTATCTAATTAATTACATTTTGATAAAATGTACGGTTCATATGACATGGTACACTCAATCGGGACCGATGCTTCTTGGAGTTTTGGAGGGAGGAAGTAGAGTCGTGTTTAATTTTTTCCTTGTACATACCATGGTTCTTGTGTCCTTTTGTTATGCATGTATTTGTTTATGTGTGTATATGTAAAATATGTATATATGGTTGTGATTTGAATCCTCTCCTTATAAAATGCTTGAAATGTATATTGTTTCTGATCAAAGTTCTGAACGCTAAGAAGATCAGAGAAGAAACAATATGTAATTAAGCCTAGATTAATTTACATCCGCAATTTCGTATTTTTGGTGAAATGGTTTAATTTCACAACGCTCTTTTTTTTTTAAAATTAAAAAAAAAAAAAACTATACAAGGCAAGATCAATTCCAATACTCGCCATTATTCCACTCAAAACTTCCGATGCCACTACACTAAATGGTGTTAGCATTTCATAGAACCTTTGAACTACTTTTATTTATAGAAAGCTTTAAAGTGAGAAGATCTATCCAGTACAGATATTATTTTGTGATTTTTCATTTAAGAAGCAAATATTAAATGGATCTGATTTCGATTGAATCCAGTTACAACAATCTCAGCGGAACAAGAAAAGGCAAAACAACCTAGAACATTGGAAAATTCCGAGTCATAATATTATAAAGCACACTTTTGGGGATATAAATATTAAGATATGTAGTATTTGGAGACAATTTGGCCTAAGAAGCAGCTGCTTTCACTTTCCCAATAAGATCAGCTGCATCTTGAACGGTCAAGATATTCTCAGCTCCCCCTTCTCCTATTGAGACACCAAACTTCTCTTCCAAAGCCATCATGATCTCAACCTGTCAAAGTTTGAACTTTTTTTTTATCAGATTCACAACTTAATCTGCTTGACATAAAAACCAATCAAATATCCATCAGGTATATATACACACACATATACATACACCTATATTATTTTCTTTTATATCACTGTCACCTCAATTACCACGAAGAAAATAATATCTATTGCAAGTAATTATATAATGTATAATTACTAGAAAAATTTGGCATAGTTATTACAATTATTAGAAGAATTTGACGTGTATGTCACACAAAAGAAATTAATCCAAACTAATATTGTCTTTAAACTACCTATGAAAAAAAAATAACAACCCATATATCTAACTCGGAATTTTTTTTTTTTTTTTTTTTTTTAAATGTCATGATCTTGATTGTGCAAATTTTGGTAAATATGAGCTTGGGCTGAGCATGGTGCCCCAAAAAGGATACATGAGTACGACACTGTCCAAATAATCGTGTATAGCCCAATTCATCATAAGAGAAAAGAGACATACAGTGTCAAGCGAATCAGCCCCCAACTCTGCAAACTTGGTTGAGGGCGTGACAGAATTTTCATCAATTGATAGTTGCTTTGCAATCGTGCTCTGCACTGTTTTCAGAGTTTCTGAATTAGCCTGCACATTTACATACATATATATACACACACATCAAAGACAGTATAAATAAAATGATCCGTTTAATTCGCTAATTCGAGTTGAGATGTGATTTTATGTGAGTTTTTTACTGTAACAAAAAAATTAGATGTAACTGTTTCTGAAAGCTTTTTACTATAGTAAAACTCGAATCGGCGAAATAAACAGAGTCAAAAATTGTTAATCAAATGTCACAATTTTTCTTAGGCATTTAGGGGACTCACAATGGAGCATGAAATTCTACTAGTCTTGAAGCAACTAGATGGGAGTGGAAGCGATCTCTCTGTTGCCCTGGTGATTTTGATTTTAGGAGCAAGTCTTAGGCCACCAACCAAAGGGCTTCTCTGAAAAATAAAACAATCATGTTTTATTAGTTTGGGTACATATCTGACTCTTTTTTTTTTTTTCTTTTTTGACCCCAAAAAACAATATATTAAGAAGGGCGGCACTTGGACTTACAATGGAAGAAGATAAACTGTGGCTAAGTTGGCAAATTGTGCTTCTGCAAGCGTTATTGCAAGGGAGCGAAGCTACGGGAATTGTGGAAGTTGAAACGAAAGAAGCCATTAGTCAGAAACAAATATCTGAAATTTGAAAAGGCAAAAAAGGTTTGTTAAGCTGATGTTGAGAAATAAGAGGCCCATATTGCTTGAACCATATATAAACCTGCTTGGAGTTAATGTTCGATTATACCAAAGAAACTTCTCCAATCGACCATTGTATTTGGCGGATTATACCATGCTGTTAATGAACGTATTCAGACAACAATGAATTCGATAAACCCAATTAAAATTCAAACTTCAAAAAGAGAGGCTGCCATTAATTATTAGTTTGCTCAGGGGACAAGTGTACTATTGGCAAAAGTGAGGGATAATTCTTATAAAATTATCTTATTAAGATATTTTTTCTGATTGAATCTCGACTGGGGATGTAGCTCAAACGGTAGAGCGCTCGCTTTGCATGCGAGAGGTACGGGGTTCGATACCCCGCATCTCCAATTTTTTCTCTTACGTTTTTCAATATCATTCATTTTATTTTTTACCCCATTTTCGTTATGAATTTTTTATTACTACCCTTTGTCTTTTGCGGCCGTTGATGGCCAGTCGCATTGATTGAACAATGCTGTCCCCGCTTCCGAAATCAACAAGACAGCAACGGAGTGTGGGGTGAGATAATTCGGATTAATAAATCGTATTCGTGCTAATTTATTTATTAATTATGTCTAAAAATATTAATTTAAATATGATTTATTTATTAAATGTGTTAAAAATGTGACGTAACGGAAGCGTAAAATTGTATCACGTAATTCTGTTAATAATACCGAAAAACGAAAGGTAAGTAATTTATTGATTCGAAAGAATACTAAAAAACAAGCAAAGTGGAGAAAAAACTTCTCTAAAAATTTTATTATCAAAATATCAATAATGAAAATAACAAGTTATCCTACTATTTAAAGAGAACTATAATTAGAAATCGAAAAGGAAACTATCTCTAATTAATTTCTTTCTAATTTTAAAAATAAAGAGACTATTTAAACTTAGAATTTAAAGATAAAGATAAAAGACTATCTAAACTTAGAATTTAAAGATAATCTCTTTTAATTAAAGATAAAAATTATCTCTTCCTTCTGGCAGCAGGCGCTACATCAGTCCCTCCGGCGTGAAAAGGATTCGACCTCGAATCAGAATCTTCTATCTCACCGGCAAAAGGAACAAAATGCTTAATATTAAAAACGTCAGAAGTGTTAACATTCGAAGGGAGGCGCAACCGGTAGGCATTGGGATTGATCTTCTCAAGCACTTCTAAAGGACCGATTTTTCTGGCCTTCAACTTGTTGTACTCATGAAGAGGAAAACGTTCTTTTATTAAAACAACCCACACAAGATCATCAACATTAAATTCCATGGCGCAACGATGGCGATCGGCTGCAGCCTTATACTTTGCAGTAGTAGTTGCCAAATGATTATAAGTTACTTGATGGATATGCTGCAAATCTATCACGAAACCAACAGCTTTTCCATGAATTCGAGTGCGGTCAGGAAGCGGAGTAAGATCAAGAGGACAACGAGGAACACAGCCATAAACCACCTGAAAAGGGCTGAAGCTAGTGCTTCGGTTCTTAGCATGATTGTGAGCAAACTCCGCTTGGCTAAGCTTAATATCCCACGACTTAATATGATCTCCAACAAGGCTTCGAAGTAAATCTCGTAGAGCACGATTGGTAACTTTGGTTTGGCCATCGGTTTGTGGATGGTAAGCTGAACTCATATCTATACTTGTATTAACCAATTTCTAAAGGGGCCTCCAAAAGTGACTCAAGATACGAGAATCTCGATCGAAAACAATGGAAGTAGGGAGACCATGGAGGCGGTAAACTTCCTTGAAGAACAATTGAGCCACTTGAACTGCATCGGTAGTTCTCTTGCAAGGAATAAAATGAGCCATTTTAGAAAAGCGATCAACCACTACAAAAATAGAATCATTACCCTTTTGAGTGCGATGAAGGCCGAGAACAAAGTCCATGTTAATATCGGTCCATGGCTGCGTTGGAATAGGCAAAGGCATGTAAAGGCCGTCGTTGGAAGCATGACCTTTGGAGGTGTGACAAACTCGACAACGTTCCACATAGCGCTCCATATCTCGGCGAAGTGTAGGCCAAAAATAAGAAGTAGATACCAAATGAAGCGTTCTATCTCGACCAACATGACCCTCTCCATGTAGTTCTTTTATGATTTGCAATCGTAAGCTACAATCCGTAACACAAAGACGGCTGCCCAAGAAGAGAAAATCATCATGCATCACATATTCAAATCTTGTACCCCCACGTACATCTTCTAGAATCTGAGAAAAGAAAGGATCGGATGGATACAATTCGGGAAAAGTGGAGAATCCCGGTACTGATACATGAAGTGTTGCAAGTAGAGAATGGTGATGGCTCAATGCATCGACCACTCGATGAAGGACACTCGATTGATGCTTGATAACAAAAGTAAATTGTTGGAGATAGGCTATCCAAGAAGCAAGTCGAGCCAAAACCTTGTCTTGACTTCCGAGATGTTTTAAAGCGTCATGGTTGGTGTAAAGAACAAATTCCTTGTGAAAAAGATAATGACGCCAATGTTTAATGGCTTGAACCACTGCATAAAATTCCACATCATAAGTACTATAACGAGCTCGTGAACCGGAGAGCTTCTCACTATAATAAGCAACGGGTCGTCCTTGTTGACTAAGAACGGCGCCTATACCAACCTTAGAGGCGTCACTATGCAGCTCAAAAGTAAGAGAAAAGTCTTGGTAAAACCAAAATAGGGGTTGTGGTGAGCTTGTGTTTAATTTGCTCAAAAGCCTTGGCAGCCTCTGGATTCCAAGCAAATTTTCCATCCCGAATACAATCCATAATCGGGGCTACAATGCTACTAAAGTGGGAAATAAACCGGCAGTAGAAAGAAGCTAACCCATGAAAGCTTCGAACTTCAGTGACGGTGCGCAGAGTTGGCCATGATCGAATAGATTCCACTTTGTTTTGATTCACTGCCAAACCTTCCTTTGAAACAACATAACCAAGAAATAGAACTTGGTCGGAACCGAATTCACACTTTTTAAGAGCCGCATAAAATTTATCTCGCCGCAGTACTAAGAGAACTTTTCAAAGATGTCGGAGATGATCTTTTATAGTAGCGCTAAAAATAATAATATCATCAAAATAAACAACGGTGAACTTACCGATAAACGGGCGAAGCACTTGGTTCATTACTCTCATAAAGGTGCTCGAGACATTACAAAGCCCGAATGACATCACTAACCATTCAAATAGACCCTCGCATGTTTTGAACGCCGTTTTCCATTCGTCCCCGGGTCGAATCCGAATTTGATGGTAGCCGCTCTTAAGATCTAGCTTTGTGAAAATAGTGTCTCCACTTATTTGATCAATGAGGTCATCGAGGCGAGGAATCAAAAAGCAGTATCTCACAGTAATCTTATTAATAACACGGCTGTTCACACATATGCGCCAAAAGCCATCTTTCTTCAGAATTAGGAGTGCATGGATGACACAAGGACTGAGACTCTCCCGTAAATATCCTTTTGCAATCAACTCTTCAACTTGTCGACGAAGCTCTTCATGTTCACTCGGACTCATTCGATAGAGGCGTCACTATACAATATAATTAGGTTTCCCAAAGTCTTAATCGCATCCAGAGTCAATTTTGCCACGCCAGCATGCATTTTACGTTACAACTAGTTGACCGGTGACAGAGACGTTATAACTCACCGGTCGACCTGTCCTTTACGAACCGGTCGACTTGTCTGCACTGACGAAAGTTGTTTTCCTAGTTTTTCAACACGGGAAACTTGCATAAAGCCTCAGTTTTGATTCAAGCAACCCAATAGAGAAATTACCTGATCAAAACAGTCATATAATAGTCTTCCTATATTAAACAACTCTTAAAATAATAATTCAACCAATTTAACTAGATTTAATTTATCAATTAATTCACCCGATAAATCACTCATGAATTAACCATTCTCATATTAACTTTGAACCTATTTTACAGAAATAACACAAGTTACCAATATGTAGGAAATACGTCGTATCGTTACAGGAAATTATGTGAGCTAGCAAAGGGACCCGATGGACATATATAAATCAAGCTCCTATAATCACAACGCTACTTGTAAACCAACAATTCCGTCTCATGATTATAAAACTCTAGCGTTATTCCACTAAAAGCCTAGAGCTGCACTCTCGATTTATATAGCATATTTACAAAGCTCTGATTAGCTCTAGTCCATGACTCAATATATTAGTGTATCATCCCCATAGGATATCCATAATCGACTTGAGGTCAAGTTCATTCCACTATCTATGAATAACGAATCTAGGCATACACGAGTCATACCCCCAATGTACCGGCAAGCATACCTTTACATAATGTCAGGATGTCTCCCTTTTAGTACATCAAAGGATACAAGTCAAGCATACAGATTCATCATCCATCTCAGGATTAAGATGACAACATATAATTCGTCAAAAGTGAATTGTTTTATTCAAACAGAATTATTAATTAAAACAATTCAACTTTGGTCCGATCCAATATAGATTTCACCATTAGAAACTATATCAATGTCTCCACGCATGGAGTCCCACCTCCGACGACCAAGACAAGCCGTCTCCGTTAGGAAGTGGACAACATAACAATCTTAACATGAATAAAGCGCCCAACTTTATTCCATCGATTGTGGATCATAAGATTTAGACTATCATCTTTAGATTCTTGTCTTCTACATGTTCTTCACATTACATGCATGACTTAAAGATTTAGAATGACAGTCTCAGACTTTCAGTTTGCTTATTATACATTCAACTATTATGAATATAAAGAGGACAATACATAGATATATGAAATAAACAAATCTTTATTAATAGTCAAAATGTCTCAAAGAATATTGTTACATTTATTCCTAAGGGCATAAACGCTAACAATCTCCCACTTGCACTTAAGTGAGTAAATGTGACATGCTACGCATCCCCAAGGGCCTGGACCGAGCCTGAGTTTTTCTTCTCATGCACGGCCCTGCACTGTGCAGGGCTGTGCCAGGCACAGCCCAGGCCCTTAATGGGGCTGGTGTCAAGCGTGACGTGCCGGCCCGGCACGGCACGTTTGACACCACTAGGTAAAATGTAAATACTGAGAATATTTAAATACCTTTGAATTATTTAAATTTACTCGTCATAAATATTTATTAATCAATAATTAATTTGTTAAACTAAATTAAGCACACTTATAAATCTCAATTACCTTAATTAATCTAATTTAATTCTTCAGAGTGTTACAAAAATAAATAAATTTTACCTACAAATATTAAAATTTACATTATTTGTATTTAATATGTCATATAAACTTTCATATTATATGACATATCATTAGATTGTAGATGATACATATAGTTAATCGTGTCAATTCATATCACTTTATGTTATGAGGTCAACTCTAACCTAACTATTTTATTAATCGTGTTAATCTAATTATAGTCTAAATCTATTTATAATAAATCAAATTCGCTAATTTCATATAAATTTTAAATCGTATCGTTATATCACGACTTGAATTATCAACCCTAGTCCACTCTCAAAACTCCCGTCTCCATACAAAGTATGGCACATTGTGATGATATAAGTTGCCAACTTAAACCCATCTTATGACCAATCACCATTATATAATACGACACCCAAAAGTACGATTACCGCTAACCGGCATTCAGTCGCATTCTCACACGTGACTTCCACTCAAAATAGTATTAGCATTAGCACCCGTCCTCTTGAGCTTTACTGTACAATTCCGTTGCTTTCGGCCCTAATCTCACCGCCAACTGTCGGTTACCGTCGCCGCCTTTGGTTACTTTTAATAGTTATGCGCATTTTAAAGGCGTTGCCGTGAACGAAAGGTTTGACCCCAAATAATCCCCCGACCAACACGCTGTGCCCTTTTCTTCAATTTGTTTTTTTTTTTCGTTTCAGTTTTCTTCCTTCCTATCCATCCTAAATTACTGTACTGCCCCTCACGCCCATATGTACAAAATCATGAGAAGAAAATTTTAATCTATAAAATTATTCAAGAAGAATTTGTAAATTATTATTAGTCTAAAAAAATATTTTTTTATTTGGTTTGGAATAATAATATTGATGAAAATACATTCAAAAGAAAATAATATTGATGACAAAAATGATTTAATTAAAATAAAATAATAATAATAAAGAGAGAATAAAAGTGGGACGGAGATATGGAGAGATGTTAAAAACGGCAGAAAGTGGCAGGAAGGAGGGGCAAAGGAAGGAAGGTAGGACGAGTAATTACAGGG